GTCTTATTTACCACACATGCTTGTGAGCCTTGCAGCGGTCATTCACTAACTTTCATTTATGCTTCAGGGTTAAAGGATAATACGAAGAAGCAGAAATGTTGCAGGTATTTTGTTGTTGACTACATTTAGTCTGAGTGATAGCACGCAAACATTGAAAATGCACTCGTGCAATGCCAAAATTCATCCTACTACAGTAGGTTCTTCACTTACAAAGCAAAAGGTCCGTGCCAAAATCCTGATGGCTTTTATGTGCGCAAGATATTCATAAGGAGAAAAAAGAGCTCGAGCACGGAGACCCATTCCTTCAGGAAGTAGGTTCACAGGCATAGGGCTTCGTGCCGGTGAGTGTATTTACCACAACGCGATCTACTCAATAATTGTTAATGAGGAGCAAATGCTGTGACTGCACGGTACTCTTTAGACAAAGGATTCTAGAATGCATGGAGGGAAATGCATCCGCCCGTGAGACGAAACGACGAGGTCAATATGGGGCTGCGAAAGCGCCTCCCTTCCCTCACACACACAGACAAATTAATTACGGAAGCGATTCATCAGTGACGCAACGGTGTTTGTGGCAAACACCCACAGCACCAACGCCTGTACTGACGTTGGAGTGAAGCACAATCGCAATAACGACGCCAGTCTGCACGCGCAACACAAATGCAAGCCTAGCAAAAGCAGCCTAAAAAGGTGATGGTGATCAAGCAAGGTAAGTGCCGATGCGCGACTGGGTGACTCAGCCCGCAGTTTCTTGTCACACAGATAATGTCGCATTCACATCTGGGTGCCTTCGCACCTACAACCGTACTTCGCCGATTCATTAAATTTACAATCCGAAAAGGTAACACTTTTGTGCGGCGAATGCACCACGATGGATTCGACACTGTACAACCAACGCGTTTCAGAGTCTGTGTGTCTCTGTTCATCCCACACAATCTTCCAAAGCTAAAGAATTTCGCACTTGATGCAGTGATAGACCGGTGCCTCAGGGCTCTGCAGGAAACGAAAGCTCATTCGCAAGTACACATTCAGTATCTTTTTGCTGGGGAGATACATCAGTTGAAGAAAGTTCCACTTCAGGTCCCCTCACTCTGCCTCGCTCAGCTCTGAAATGATGAAGCTTACGAGGCATCTCTAAGCATGCTTACTTCCTAGACCCATAAGCAATGAGAAAACTCAACGTGCTTCCGTGTTTTTTAAGGTTAGGGCGGAGCTACAAAACGGTTGTTACATTGATCAAATGTCTAAACAATGCCTGCAAAAATAGTGTGCAATTCTACACCATAACAATATAGAAAGAATGATCAATTCGCTTCCTACCAAATATCTATAAACTACCTAAGATGTTATCCTGAATGTTCTCCTCAAGGCGTTGGGCAAAGTTTGGGAAAGTGCCAGCTATTTCAGTAACAGAAGTAGCCAGATTCATTTAGGTACTCTCCATTTACGCTGCTCTTAGCTGCCTCACAGCAGTCAACTACCCGAAGCGTTGAAGCACATGCTGCGTGTGAGCATGAAAGGTAATCATTCACTCACTTCTGCATGACATCTTTACTAGTACTTTCCAAGAGCACTGGCACCGCTGTACTCTGTAGCGTTCACGGAGCCTGGCTGTCAAACAAAAACCTTTCTCACGTCTACAAGACATCAGCATGGTAAGCCAGCAAAGCAGTACGCTATCTATTTACACAATACCGAGTAGTAGTCAGTACCTATTAGCGACTGCCAAGCAACACGAAGTTCACGCAGAACATTTTTAATGCTTTTGCACTTTACAAGACACAAAATGATTGAATACCTGCCGATTCATCGTGCTGGAAGACGTCTGTCGCTAAACTGAGAAAAGGGCATGCGCACATTCAAAGAACAAGTATGCTAGTCACTGCACCGCACAGTTTTACCAAAAGCCTGGTCTAACTTCACAGCAGCAGTGCTGTGCGCGTGTTCGTTTGAGCTAATAGGGTGCTACAATGCAAAAGTAACATTAAAAATACACTGTACATGGCAAAGCTTACAGGGTGCCACGATGCCAACGTGAGACTAAAAAGGCAGAGTAAACGGCAAACTCTACGTTCGATATTAAGGCGCAATTCGAGCCGCCACCACAGCCAGCCAACAGTGACTGACATTCCCCAAAACAGGCATTGTCTAATAAGGTATGAGCTCCACCGTTACTGCTGCTCTGCAGCAAATCTAGATCATTGCTGCGGAGGCAACAGCCCACCAACACAACTACAAACAAGGCTTTCGTTTTTGTTCCTCAAAATTAAATACGCAATTGGTATGATTAACAGAAGGTTTAATGTGCACAGCAAGCTGGCTGGGAAACTGGTGGCTCCCACGGGTTTTTGAGTTCTATTTCGCAGTACCTCGAAAAGCAACACAATTGCACAAAAGATGCTAATGCAGAGCTATATTTCAGTGTTTTCGACGCAATGTCGCCACACTACGCCGGCGACCCATACCAACAATTGAATGCACACCTGCCAGCAAAATGAGACCGCACATACCGAATTCAATGTTTGACAAAACAATCAAGGAAGCATAACAAGAGGTGCGGTTGACTCAAAGCGCTGCAGCCACGCCTCAAGAACTGTGCATCGCTTTCGCAACTCCCCAAGCCACTGTACTAACGCACCACCTGCAAAACATAAAACAACGACCCACGCACTGCACTCTACACTCAGGGGCCCACGCTGCAATCCGTCTACAGCTGGCGCCTCAACGCAAAGCAAAGACATGCATGGCCCGCACAGAAACGCACGTCATGACAACATCTCAGCCAACCAACACCACCCCTTTCACTAATACGCTACGTAGGAACAGGCTTAGCAAAAGCGCTCCAAGAAAAGAACGCCTATCGAACAAGTGTTGCACTCGACTGCACAAATGTAAGCACCTCGTGTGGCATACCACCCGACTCTACTGCTGCAGCAGAAAGCCGCATTCGGCTACACGTCTCTTACAATTTATAATGACGTCGACCTGCCTGCTAGTTGTATTCAAAAAGGATTCGCCGAACAGCACGCTGATGCCACACCTTAGACATGCGTTTCACAGCCACCGTCGCTCTGCTCTACTCCTGCACCAGTGCACCTGGCAGATGATTCGACACGGCTTTGCGTGTCTGCTCTGCATGAGTGTACAACACTGCCGCCGACGCATGCAACACTGTGGTATCAACAACGTGCCCTCTTGCACCTGACGCTCCGGCCAATTTGCTCAGCGCACTCGCTACAAGTGCAAAACGCCTCCTTAAAACGCAATCCTGCAACGGCGCTGTGCGCTCACAGAGCAATGCTAGGTTTTGCTCTGCAGCTATGCTGGCCACGTGCGTGCATAGCACGACAGCGAGAGTCGACTGCGAGGTTCAAAAGCGCACACAAGACACCATCGCAAGCAGTGCGCTAGACTCAAGCGCTGCCGCCACCCCTCACGAACTGGGCATCGCTATCGCAACTGCCCAAGCCATACGACCAACGCACTGCCTGCACAACGAAGAAAAACATCCCACGCACTGCGCTCCACACTGCACTGTCAAACCAAGCACTGCTGCACGACAGACCAGCCATACCCACAATCAAGCAACAAACATTACCACGCGATGCGCGAGCCAGGCATATCTGCAGTCTCATGCGTCTACATCAAGAGGGGCCCACGCTGCGATCTGCCTACGACCTGTCTACAACTTGCCGCCGCCTGAGTGTGAACCCCTGTCGCCGCCGCATGCAACACTGTGGTATCAACACCCTGTCTTCTTGCACCTAATGCTCTACCCAATTTGCTCAGCGCACTCGCTACAGGTGTAAAGCGCCTCCTCAACACGCAAGCGTGCAAGTGCACTGCGCTCACGGAGCAATGCTAGCTTTTGCCCTGCAGCTATGCTGGCCACGTGCGTGCATAGCACGACAGCGAGAGTCGACTGCAAGATTCAAAAGCACACACAAGACACCATCGCAAACAGTGCGCTAGACTCGAAGCGCTGCCGCCACCCCTCACGAACTGGGCATCGCTTTCGCAACTGCCCAAGCCATACGACCAACGCACTGTCTGCACAACGAAGAAAAACGTCCCACGCACTGCGCTCTGCACTGCACTGTCAAACCAAGCACTGCTGCACGACAGACCAGCCATACCCACAATCAAGCAACAAACATTACCACGCGATGCGCGAGCCAGGCATATCTTCAGTCTCATACGTCTACATCAAGAGGGGCCCACGCTGCGATCTGCCTACGACCTGTCTACAACTGGCGCCTGCCTGGATGCGAACCCCTGTCGCCGCCGCATGCAAAACTGTGGTATCAACAGCTTGTTCTGTTGCACCTGACGCTTCGGCTGCTCTGCTCAGCGCAGTCGCGGCAAGCGCAAAGCGCCTCCTCAACACACAATCCTCCACCAGTGAGCTGCGCTCGCAGCGCAATGCTAGCTTTTATCCTGCAGCTATGCTGGCCACGTGCGGTAGTCGACTGCGAGGTTCAAAAGCACACACAAGACACCATCGCAAGCAGTGTGCTAGACTCGGAGCGCTGCCGCCACCCCTCACGAACTGGGTATCGCTCTCGCAACTTCCCAAGCCACACGACCAACGCGACCAACGCACTACCTGCACAACAAAGAAAAACGACCCACGGGCTGCGCTCTACACTGCACTGTCAAACCAAGCACTGCTGCACGACAGACCAGCCATATCCACAATCGAGCAACAAACATTACCACGCGATACACGAGCCAGGCATATCTGCAGTCTCATACGTCTACATCAAGAGGGGCCCACGCTGCGATCTGCCTACGACCTATCTACAACTTGCCGCCGCCTGAGTGTGAACCCCTGTCGCCGCCGCATGCAAAACTGTGGTATCAACACCCTGTCCTGTTGCATCTGACGCTCCGGCCGTCTGCTCAGCGCAGTCGTTGCAATTGCAAAACGCCTCCTCAACACGCAAGGCTGCAACGGTGCTTTGCGCTCACAGAGCAATGCTAGCTTTTGCCCTGCAGCTATGCTGGCCACGTGCGTGCATAGCACGACAGCGAGAGTCGACTGCGAGGTTCAAAAGCACACACAAGACACCATCGCAAGCAGTGCGCTAGACTCGAAGCGCTGCCGCCACCCCTCACGAACTGGGCATCGCTATCGCAACTGCCCAAGCCATACGACCAACGCACTGCCTGCACAACGAAGAAAAACGACCCACGCACTGCACTGTCAAATCAGGCACTGCTGCACGACAGACCAGCCATACCCACAATCAAGCAACAAACATTACCAAGCGATAAGCGAACCAAATACATCTTCAGTCTCATACGTCTACATCAAGAGGGGCCCACGCTGCGATATGCCTACGACCTCTCTACAACTTGCGCCTGCCTGGGTGCGAACCACTGTCGCCGCCGCATGCAAAACTGTGGCATCAACAGCTTGTTCTGTTGCACCTGAGGCTTCGGCTGCTCTGCCCAGCGCAGTCGCTGCAATTGCAAAACGCCTCCTCAACACGCAAGCCCACAATGGCGCACTGGGCTCGCAGCGCAAGGCTAGCTTTTATCCTGCAGGCATACTGGTCACGTGCGTGCATAGCACGACAGCGAGAGTCGACGGCGAGGTTCAAAAGCACACACAAGACACCATCGCAAGCAGTGCACTAGACTCGGAGAGCTGTCGCCACCCCTCACGAACTGGGCATCGCTTTCGCAACTGCCCAAGCCATACGACCAACGCACTGCCTGCACAACGAAGAAAAACATCCCACGCACTGCGCTCCACACTGCACTGTCAAACCAAGCACTGCTGCACGACAGACCAGCCATACCCACAATCAAGCAACAAACATTACCACGCGATGCGCGAGCCAGGCATATCTGCAGTCTCATACGTCTACATCAAAAGGGGCCCACGCTGCGATATGCCTACGACCTCTCTACAACTTGCGCCTGCCTGGGTGCGATCCACTGTCGCCGCCACATGCAAAACTGTGGTATCAACAGCCTGTAATCTTGCACCTGACACTTCGGCTGCTCTGCTCAGCGCAGGCGCTGCAAGTCCAAAAGGCCTCCTCAACACGCAAGCCTACAATGGCGCACTGGGCTCGCAGCGCAAGGCTAGCTTTTATCCTGCAGGCATACTGGCCACGTGCGTGCATAGCACGACAGCGAGAGCCGACTGCGAGGTTCGAAAGCACACACAAGACACCATCGCAAGCAGTGCGCTACACTCGGAGCGCTGTCGCCACCCCTCACGAACTGTGCATCGCTATCGCAACTGCCCAAGCCATACGACCAACGCACTGCCTGCACAACGAAGAAATACGTCCCACGCACTGCGCTCTACACTGCACTGTAAAATCAGGCACTGCTGCACGACAGACCAGCCATATCCACAATCGAGCGACAAACATTACCACGCAATACGCGAGCCAGGCATATCTGCAGTCCCATACGTCTACATCAAGAGGGGCCCACGCTACGATCTGCCTACGGCTCCGGGAGTCTGCTCTGTCTGACTCCAAATCTCCTGTCGTCGACGCATGCGAAACTGTGGTATCAACACCCTGTCTTCTTGCACCTGACGCTCCGCCCAATTTCTTCAGCGCACTCCCTGCAAATCCAAAATGCCGCCTCAAAACGCTAGGCTGCAACGGTGCTTTGCGTTTGCAGCGCAAGGCTAGCTTTTATCCTGCAGCTATGCTGGCCACGTGCGTGCATAGCACGACAGCGAGAGCCGACTGCGAGGTTCGAAAGCAGACACAAGACACCATCGCAAGCAGTGCGCTACACTCGGAGCGCTGCCGCCACCCCTCACAACACCGCTCTCGCAACTCCCCAAGCCATACGACCAACGCACTGCCTGCACAACGAAGAAATACGTCCCACGCACTGCGCTCTACACTGCACTGTCAAATCAGGCACTGCTGCACGACAGACCAGCCATATCCACAATCGAGCGACAAACATTACCACGCAATACGCGAGCCAGGCATATCTGCAGTCTCATACGTCTACATCAAGAGGGGCCCACGCTGCGATCTGCCTACGGCTCCGGGAGTCTGCTCTGTCTGACTCCAAATCTCCTGTCGTCGACGCATGCGAAACTGTGGTATCAACACCCTGTCCTCTTGCACCTGACGCTCCGCCCAATTTCTTCAGCGCACTCCCTGCAAATCCAAAATGCCGCCTCAAAACGCTAGGCTGCAACGGTGCTTTGCGTTTGCAGCGCAAGGCTAGCTTTTATCCTGCAGCTATGCTGGCCACGTGCGTGCATAGCACGACAGCGAGAGCCGACTGCGAGGTTCGAAAGCAGACACAAGACACCATCGCAAGCAGTGCGCTACACTCGGAGCGCTGCCGCCACCCCTCACAACACCGCTCTCGCAACTCCCCAAGCCATCAGACCAACGCACTGCCTGCACAACGAAGAAATACGTCCCACGCACTGCGCTCTACACTGCACTGTCAAATCAGGCACTGCTGCACGACAGACCAGCCATATCCACAATCGAGCGACAAACATTACCACGCAATACGCGAGCCAGGCATATCTGCAGTCCCATACGTCTACATCAAGAGGGGCCCACGCTGCGATCTGCCTACGGCTCCGGGAGTCTGCTCTGTCTGACTCCAAATCTCCTGTCGTCGGCGCATGCGAAACTGTGGTATCAACACCCTGTCCTCTTGCACCTGACGCTCCGCCCAATTTCTTCAGCGCACTCCCTGGAAGTCCAAAATGCCGCCTCAAAACGCTTGCCTGCAATGGTGCTTTGCGCTTGCAGCACAAGGCCAGCTTTTATCCTGCAGCTATGCTGGCCACGTGCGTGCATAGCACGACAGCGAGAGTCGACTGCGAGGTTCAAAAGCACACACAAGACACCATCGCAAACAGTGCGCTAGACTCGAAGCGCTGCCGCCACCCCTCACGAACTGGGCATCGCTTTCGCAACTGCCCAAGCCATACGACCAACGCACTGCCTGCACAACGAATAAAAAAAAACCCACGCACTGCGCTCCACACTGCACTGTCAAGCCAAGCACTGCTGCACGACAGACCAGCCATACCCACAATCAAGCAACAAACATTACCACGCAATATGCGAGCCAGGCATATCTGCAGTCCCATACGTCTACATCAAGAGGGGCCCACGCTGCGATCTGCCTACGACCTGTCTACAACTTGCCGCCGCCTGAGTGTGAACCCCTGTCGCCGCCGCATGCAAAACTGTGGTATCAACACCCTGTCTTCTTGCACCTAATGCTCTACCCAATTTGCTCAGCGCACTCGCTACAGGTGTAAAGCGCCTCCTCAACACGCAAGCGTGCAAGTGCACTGCGCTCACGGAGCAATGCTAGCTTTTGCCCTGCAGCTATGCTGGCCACGTGCGTGCATAGCACGACAGCGAGAGTCGACTGCAAGATTCAAAAGCACACACAAGACACCATCGCAAACAGTGCGCTAGACTCGGAGCGCTGCCGCCACCCCTCACGAACTGGGCATCGCCTTCGCAACTGCCCAAGCCATACGACCAACGCACTGCCTGCACAACGAAGAAAAACGTCCCACGCACTGCGCTCCACACTGCACTGTCAAACCAAGCACTGCTGCACGACAGACCAGCCATACCCACAATCAAGCAACAAACATTACCACGCAATATGCGAGCCACGCATATCTGCAGTCTCATACGTCTACATCAAGAGGGGCCCACGCTGCGATATGCCTACGACCTCTCTACAACTTGCGCCTGCCTGGGTGCGAACCACTGTCGCCGCGACATGCAACACTGTGGTATCAACAGCCTCCCTGTTGCAACTGACGCTTCTGTCAATTTGCTCAGCGCACTCGCTACAAGTGCAAAAGGCCTCCTCAACACGCAAGCGTGCAAGTGCATTGCGCTCACGGAGCATTGCTAGCTTTTGCCCTGCAGCTATGCTGGCCACGTGCGTGCATAGCACGACAGCCAGAGTCCACTGCGAGATTCAAAAGCACACACAAGACACCATCGCAAGCAGTGCGCTAGACTCGGAGCGCTGCCGCCACCCCTCACGAACTGTGCATAGCTATCGCAACTCCCCAAGCCATACGACAAACGCACTGCCTGCACAACGAAGAAAAACGTCCCACGCACTGCACTGTCAAATCCGGCACTGCTGCACGACAGACCAGCCATACCCACAATCAAGTAACAAACATTACCACGTGATAAGCGAACCAGGCACATCTTCAGTCTCATACGTCTACATCAAGAGGGGACCGCACTGCGATCTGCCTACGACCTCGTTTCCGCCTGAGTGCGAACACCTGTCGCCGCCGCATGCAAAACTGTGGTATCAACAGCTTGTCCTGTTGCACCTGACGCTTCGGCTGCTCTGCTCAGCGCAGTCGTTGCAAGCGCAAAACGCCTTCTCAGAATTAAAGCCTACAATGGTGCACTGCGCTCGCAGCGCAATACTAGCTCTTACCTTGCAGCTATACTGGCCACGTGCGTGCATAGCACTACAGCGAGAGTCGACGGCGAGGTTCGAAAGCACACACAAGACACCATCGCAAGCAGTGCGCTAGACTCGGAGCGCTGCCGCCACCCCTCATAAACTGTGCATCGCTTTCGCAACTCCCCAAGCCATCAGACCAACGCACTGCCTGCACAACGAAGAAAAACGACCCACGCACTGCGCTGTGAAATAATGCACTGCTGCACGACAGACCAGCCATACCCACAATCAAGCGACAAACATTACCACGCAATACACGAGCCACGCATATCTGCAGTCTCATATCTCTATATCAAGAGGGGCCCACGCTGCGCCGTGTTTACAGCTGGCGCCTCAATGCTAAGCAGGGAGAGATGGTATGTCCGCGCTGATGGACACGTCGCCCAGTCAGCGTCGCCCTCGTTCAAAGCAACCGGAGTCCATAACTTTATGGCATTTGTGCTTAGTAACAAATCAACAGCACTGTGTCATTCAGTTACGCCTGGATATGTTGCATAACGTGCGATAGTACGTTTGGATATGTGGCTGAACTTCAGAGTATGCATGCCCACATAGTGTGGAAGTGGATCACAGTTTTGCTATAAAGCCAATATTGCGCTTACGCGCTTAATTGTCGGCAGGCGGTTGCTTTTTGAAGTCACTGCTACACTGTCTCCAACTAAATACGCCAGAATGTAGGCAAGGTTCACGGCTTGTGATGTTATGTCTTCGGGCCGCCACTGTAACATTGCTCAAATAGGATAACCCGTTTGCAATTAAACACATAGGCATTCACACACCAACTGCGCGGTCACACCAGCTGCAATAATGACAGGGCGCATTATTTTCTAATTACATCCAATCGTACTCACTATTAAGTATATTCGCACAGCTCCCAGCAAAGCAACCGCAAGCTCAGGGGACAACTCTGCTTACGCGTCTGCTTGTAGTTGGCTCATGGAAGTGCTCAAGCACAGCTTCACCAGCTCACCTGCCGGGCAGAGTGCGCTAAGTATGTTGCGTATGTATGCCGCGTGGCTTAGGTGGCTACCTAAGTCACTGGGTTACAAAAAATAAATACGAAACAAAAAAGCTGCAAATCCGCATTATTATAGTGGACAATGCGGCTGTACGACTTTCTCGCATTATGAGGCTTGGTGGCATTGCGCAGAACGGACATCCGGACAGTTAAGCATTTCAACAAATGTGCAATTCCGGAGCACCCATACACAAGCCGTTGAAACTATGGCTTTTTTCCAGCAAAGACGAATTAACTGTGCCTTAGTTACGATAGACGAAAACGCACAAGAGACTATTTCCACAAAAGCGAATGCTAAACTGTTGCTCAACTTACCGATACTGCACAGTACTGCAAGTATGTAAACCCCATCCAACTGCAGCAATTTTGTCGAAAACGTCCAAAAGATGCTTGCACAAGCAAAGGTGTCACTCGGTGTACACAAATTCAAAACTGCGGACTGAGGAACTGAGTTCTGGGCACACAGTGCTCGTTTTTTACAGGTCAGGGAACTGACGCTGTCTCCATTCGCAACAGAGCCCACACAGCATGTGGGTGTATGCCATTTAAAAAAACAGTAAACGTGCATTTGCGAGACCGCAAAACGTCATCCATAGTGCATGCAACAATTCGCTGGAACCCAGGGTGCCCTTCTGCATATTGTTAGGTAAGAGCCATCTGGCACTGCCAAAAGGGCAAATTCACATGTTCGCTAGTCAGCATAATGCGAGTGCAACGTTTCGAACAAGAATAAGGGGCCAACGCATGACACCACCACCACCAAAGTGGTAGAGTCACTCATCCGCAATGCTGCAGTGCTTTCATAGCTTTATTCTGGGTGTTCAACGCACAAGCTTCACAGCCAAGTCAGTGGCATGCACTCTAGTGTGTCATGCACTTGGTATAGGGGGAAAAGGCCCGCAGAAAGCAACTTCGTGTTCGGATAATAGCTATGGGTGTACAACTGGAAATAACGTGGACTTTAATCAAGTGAACTAGCTGGAAAAACAGCTTTTACAAGCT